TTTATTTTGAATACGCGCCCTCTAATGGCGAAAATTACATATTGTGCCTTTACTCTCTAGATCTTCCGTATTAAAAAAAAATAGTGAAATAGATTTCTACACAAGAAATATGAAAGCAAATAGACATATGACGATATGTTTAACATGCATGTATATATTTCAGAAAATGTTGTTTATATATTAAATATTTATTTATAATATCAATTATATGAATATAAATATAGACATGTAAATACACATATAAAAGCTGACCTCATACGTCATTCCCCTGGAGCTGCTTCTGTGTACAACAGTGAGCGCAAGCTACATTAAAGTGATTATTACATTTTAAATATGGTTATTTTTCTTACAAAAACGCATCGATTCGCTACAGGAGGCCTTTGTTCACCACCCGGAGCCGTGTGAGACATTTTTTATTATGGATGCATGCGCTTTATTTCACTTCTTTTGGACTGAAGCACTGCAACACCCGCTGAGTGTCATTAAACCGCTTGAAAGATCAAAGACAAATTTTAATATAACTCCGACTGGATTCATCTGAAAGAAGAAAGTCATATACACCTAGGAGGCCTTGAGAGCGAGTAATTTATGGGCTAATTTTCATTTTTGGGTGAACTAATCCTTTAAACAATTAGAAACAAAACAGCATCATGTATGTATAGTTTAATACAAAGGACTGAAAACCAATCACACAGAGTACTTCATTTAAAAACAAGAGATACAGTGGGATGGGGAAGCCGCCATAAAGTCTCGAGACATGTTTTTTAAAAGTTGAACTTACATTAATTTCCCATGGCTTTCTCTCTTGTGCGAGACGCGAGTGAAACAGTGATAGATGTCCCTCTAGAGAATGCCATAAATATGTGTTCTGTGTGAATGGCTTGGTTTCAGTTTTGACGTAAACAGCATCTTCTCCGTATTGATGTTCTCTTTCTCCACAGTATTTAGAATGAACAACGCAGCATTACAATGCAAAACACCTTCATCGTCATCGCGTCTCGAGTGCCACTGATAAAGCTGTCTGACGCACACCTAGCATTCTAATGCTACGCTTTTGCATTCAAATGTGGATTTTTATTTTAAATTCAACGAATATTCAAAATTAAATTTTTTAAAGATTTCTGAAGAAATCATTGTTGTTCAGAGGATGCTGATTTATCCCCTGGGGTCATGTGGATTACCCTCACAGTGGCTGCGGGTGCGTTTAAGCACTGGCATTTGTTACTGTGATTAGCCACAGATGTGTTGTTTTTGTGACGTTGAAATTGCAGTTATGAAAGTGGATTCACCGGTGTTCTGAAATGCTGGAATTGAGTTTGCCTGAGCTAATAGTTTTAAACGGCACACCTCTGAAAGTTAAGCCAGGCTACCTGCTGTCTTGCAGACGGACTATGATATGGTGGATTATCTGAACGAGCTGCGAGAGGGCTGTCTAGAGGCCTACACTGGGATCATCCAGGGCTTGAAGGGAGACCAGGAGAATGTGCACCGTAAGTTCAGCTGGACCTCATCTCGTGACCGTCACATGCAGACGAGTGTTACATGGAGTCATGTTTAACCGTGTGTTTCCTCCTCCAGCCGATGTAATGCTGGTACAGCCTCGTGTTGAGTTCATCTTGTCGTTCATTCACCACATCGCTGAGGATGAAGACCGATCCGACGGAGTGGTGGCCAATGCTGTCGGACTCATAGGGTAAGAACTTCTTGCTTAACAAATCACTAAACCATGTTTTCTACTGGCCCAGCTGTGGCAGGGCCTAAGATTGTTACATGCCCAGACAAAACTTATTAATTGTTGTTTTTAACCCATGTGACCACCTTATTAATTACAATATTTAAGTTTATGACACCAACATTTTAAATACCAATGCAGCTTCACAGTTCTCTATTCCGGTTTTGGTACCACAGCAAAAACTACTAGTCTAGCCAAATATAAAGTTCAAACGTTAAAACTTATAAACAATTAGTTATAAAATGAATACAGCAGACCCAAGATATAAATGATTATTTAAAGTGTTTGAGGTTTTTCAGGTAGGTCTGATAGTACTCTTTTCCTTTAGGATTTCTTTCTTCAATACTGAAATAATTGGGTTAGTGACAGTTCAATGTGTGTCCGCTGTTCGGCTCGTGTGTTACTAACATAATTCTAGGTGTTTTCTGCAGATCTCTTCATAGCATTTGCTAGCTTGGATTAGACCTTGAATAAACCAGTGTATTTCCATTTTCCTTGCACCGAGAAATTCAGGGATTTTCCAAGCTTTCAAACATAACTGGATTAGTCTGCTTGATGAATGAATCATTGCCTTGTGTTGTGTTGGCCAGCCTTTCCAGTGCTATCACAGTGTTTAACCTGGTGGGCCATTATGGTTGAAAGTTTAACTTGGTGACCAGAAAACGAGTCACAGCAGTTGTCTGCATTTCTCTGAAGATCGTGTCAGGCTTTTGACACTGAATTCATGCTTTTTCTGCTCTCGTCTGGACAAAATTAATTGGGTTTAGAAGGACTACACTACACTTTTCATTTGTGGGTTCATGCTTTTTAAAATGGCAGCTTGTTCATTGCTCTGGCGTATGTCTTCTGTTGTTCTGGCACATAGTGAAGTTGACCCTTCTTCTTCCCCCCCTAAAGTGACCTGTGTACAACCTTTGGCAAAGACGTGATGAAGCTGGTGGAGGTTCGACCTCAGATCAACGATCTGCTGTCTGAAGGCCGGAGGTCCAAGACCAGCAAGACCAAGACCTTAGCCACATGGGCCACGAAGGAGCTCCGCAAGCTGAAGAGCCAAGCTTGGTATGCCATGCACCTCACGTAAATCTCACCTTAGAGGTCACATTTGACCCCAAAAGAACCGTGTTTCACACAGAAATCCTTGCGGCCTGTTCACACCGGCACAAAAAGTCAGGTTTGTGCATGTCTTTCGTCTACTGGCAGACAGGCTTGGTGAAACTGCAGTTTGCCTCTCTGACAGTAGGTGGGGCTCTTGAAAAAGAGCGCACTGTTTGCGTATCAAGATGCTGACATGCTATGGCTGGTATTTCTCATTATTGCCCTTTGTTCATTTTTGGTCTGGGCATGTGACCCAAAGCAAAATTAGCGCTGTCAAAATTAGTGCGTTAATGCAGATGATTAATTTTTTCAATTTATCTGCATTAAAGATATCTAACATTGTTAACGTGGGCCGGAGCAGGGGTTTGGCCACCTCATGCACAACTGCTGCTTCGGTCTCTTTTTTTTTCTTGACAAGTATTGCGCTTGTTTAGACACAGAACGTGTTAGCGAGCTCATCAAACAGGACAGGCGCTCCAGTTCACCTCAGCGGCAGGCGCTAGTCAAACGAGCACGGAAACGGTACAGGAGAACATCAGTGAACTGTGGTCAGATGAGATGATGTCAGGACATCTCTCTGTCCTGTCAGCCGTTATACTCTGCTCCTTGTTATTTTTTAAAGTCTACTCCATGTTCATATTGATAGCTCTCAATTGTACTGTAATGTTGAATGGCTGTAGTCAATGGTTAAATATTGGTGGAGGAAATCTGTTCCCTAGAGACATCAGTAGTGTTGGTGTCAGTGATACTCGCCTTCATTAAAAAAAAAAAGATGCCATTAAACAAATATTAAAAATATACTGTCTTTGTTTCTACATTAAGTTAAAGATTGAATGTGAAATTATTGCAATATAAAAGTATTTTTTATGTGGGATTAATAAAAAATTAATACTATTCAAAAAAATATTTATCGATTGACGGCACTAGTTAAAACGTTATCGCTGCGAACAATCCTGGTGTGAACAGGCCTTTATTGCTCCTAAAATTAGTTTTTTCATAGAATAAAAGTGAAGCCCATTAGTTTTCGGCTGAGAAGTGTCCTGAACGTGTTTTTGTGAAGCTTATCTAACATTTTAGCTGAATTGAAGGCCCTCAGGCTCGAGCAACTTAGTCTGCCACAAACCGTGTCGTTTTGCTCCGTGTAACGCGAATCTCTTCAGCCGTGTTCTCCATGGTTTTCTCTTGGTTTGTTTTCAGATTACCGGCCGTGGAGCTTCTACCAAGAATAATGGAAATCAAACCCACTGAGGTTTCTTCGGTCTTTTACACATAGACGTCAAAGCAGAAGTGACGTGTGCGCTGAGATGAGTGTCTGAGAATGAGTGAGAAAGAGTATTACAAATGAATGGTTGTGTTATTAGTATGCTAGCATGGATGGTGCAGATAGACCCCTGGAAAGACTTGCCACTGGAGGTGCAGGTTCTAGCAGAGCAGTCCATGTTCAAGGGGTGCAGGAATTAGACACTTCCACTTCCTCCTTTATTCTCCTTCATTTGTTTTGCAGGAAAATGAGTGCCAAATCCATGCGGATACCAATGGACTTGAGCGTAATGTGTTGACACGTAGAAGACGCGAAATAAACATGTCAACGATGTCACAATCTGATTTGCATTGATGTGCTTTGGTTGTAATTTTTTTCTTCTCGCGGCACTTAATTGGAGTCATTCACCAAGCTTTTAAAAAAAGAATGAACAGAATCAGACGTTTGTATGAGGTTATATTTTTCCATTGATATGAAAATAAAATAAAATTGAACCCTTCCGGTTGTACTTCTGATGCATTCCCTGTGCAATGCAAACCGCCGTCGATTCCTTTATTTCCTAGCTTCACCAGATCAAATGGCATTAATGTGTTGAAGAAATGGCCTTCTGACAGTGCTGTGGGTTGCCTTGCTGGATGTCTCCTCACCTTTCTCCACATGTGTGTGGGTCATGTTGATGTTCAGCATTGTTCTGAAATGTTCTTCATTAAGTTTCTGAACTAATGAGGGCGTAATGGGAAGCTTTCCAAGAGCAAGAGCTGTTAGCCCACAACTGAAGAATCTGCCTTTACTAGAACCATTGTGGATTATAAAATCAGTGTGATGATTCTACGGTGGTTTTATCAAGTAGTGAGATTAAAGGCAAGCAGTTTTTTGCATGACTGGTATAAAATAAAAGAACCTGATGTGAAACAGTGGTGCGGTGTACTTGTTGATGGACTTCACATTTGCAATGTTTGCTTAATACAGATTGTGAACTCTCAAGCCACTTGATGCTTTTATAAGTCGTTTTAAAGTCAATAAATGAGCGACTTAAAAGTTTGGTGTTTCATGTTTTCTGCGTTCTTCATTGCCTGCTGGCTGTGTAAATTAACTTGATAAGCACCATTACTACTTTAAACAGGGAAAGCTTTGTAAAACATTGTTGTCATTTGTTTTAATAATAAATTCTTGCCGAGTAAACCTGTAGAAAGACTTAAAGATAATTCAGATTAAGTTGATGGGCTATGGTGATAAACCACAGAGTTGCTATGAGGCTGTAAATTTGATCAAAAAACTGATGTGGCTTTTAGGGTAAGAAGCCGCAGCAGCTCACACTGAACATAACCTGCTCCAGGGTCAGTTTACTACAGCGCGTTCAGTGCATGCGTGGCCCGTGCGTGGCCATGAACAATTTTCTACAAGATATCCTTTTGTATTGGTATAACCATTGCTGTATGACATAAATGTGCTTTTATTCTCATTGTACATAAATTTAAGTATTTTAAAAAATGCTCAAAAAAGGGAACATTTAAATCACACATTAAAACTCGAAGTTGAAAATCTTTGCTTGTGTATTTACCTATACATTGCGAGTTTGTTGAAAACAAAATGTGACACTGGAAGCCAAAACCATCAACACATCGAGGGCTGGATTCAAAATCATACTGAAGATCAAAATAAAAACGGGAAATTACAAGCTGATCGAATTGAGTTTCATCACAGCAACTCCTAATATAAGTCAGTAGCTTGTATAACCTCCGCATGTCTGTATGCACTCCGACAACGTCTAGACATGCTCCTGATATGATGGTGAATGGTGTTCTGTGGGATCCCCTGCCAGACCTGGATCAGAGCATCAGTGAGCTCCTGGACAGTCTGTGGTGCTACTTGGCGGCTTCATATGCTCCTATGCATCGTGTCCCAGAGGTTCTCAATTGGATTCAGGTCTGGGGAACATGAGGGCCAGTTAATAGCATCAATGCCTTTATCATCCAGAAACTGCCTGCACACTCTGCCCACATGAGGCTGGGATTTGTCATGCACCAGTGTAAGCTCTGACAGAGGCTCTGAGGATTTTATCCCGGTACCTAACAGCAGTAAGGGTATCGTTGACCTTCAAGATATTCCTCCCCAGACCGTCACTGACCCACCGCCAAACCACTCATGCTGGATGATGTTGCAGACAGCATAACGCTCCCCATGGCATCTCCTGAGAACGGGGCACCAAGGACGGACCTGCCAATACTGGTGTTCTCTGGCAAAAACCAGTGGAGCTGCCTGTTGCTGGGCTGTGAGCCCAGGTCCCACTTCAGGAAGACAGACCCTAATGGAGTCTGTTTCTGTCAGTTTTGTCAGGAACATGCACACTAGCCTGCTGGAGCTCATTTTGTAGAGCTCCTCCTGTTCCTCTTTGTACAAAGGAGCTGATACAGCAGGTCCTGCTGCTGTCTTGTTGCCCTTCGACAGTCCTCTCCAGCTCTCCTCATGTAATGGCCCTTCTCCTGATATCTCCTCCATGCTCTTGAGACTGTGCTGGGAGACACACCAAATCTTCTTGCAACAGCAAAACACAAAAGACAAATCGGTCAGGAAGGATAAGGAGAAAGCAATTGTCTGTGGCCACAACCTGTGGGCACGTCTGGTCACCTTACTTTTGTGGGATGGTCTTTCTGTTGCTGGTGCTCCTGTGGTCACATTCATTTGCACCAAAGCAGGTGAAACTGAATTTCCACCAACTTTATTTTAAACTATTTAACCCCTTTGTAAAATAAATCAAAAAAGTAAAACCAAACATTCATCAGAAAAATGCATCATTGATCATAACCACATAAAGACATGAGTCCACACTACCTTACAATACACTTCTTGTAGGGGGTAGAGGATACAAAGGGATCACAAATAAACACTGATGAATCAGCACCCAGTGGTTAATATCCATATTAAGAATCCAGTCCCCATTCCAAAACCAGCATCAAGGAACATGACAGGAATAATCAGTCCAAATGAGTGTTCAGGATGGAGCAGGCCTTACACATTACAGTACACATTGTTAATGGTTGTTACAGCCCATGCAACCATAACAGAATACCTCCTGTATACAAACAATATTAAATGACAATTAGACCAAACATGAAACATTTCATATACATATACAGAACCCGACCCAACTAGGGTGACCATACGTGCCATTTATCCCGGACGTGTCCTGGCCAGGATTTCTATATTGCCTAAAATATCTAGGTTTTCACTTTGTTTGCGTGCGTACATCGGTGTATGACATCAAAATACCATACAGATGGTTCCTTATGCTTTCAAAATGCTCTCGAGGTACTTTGATGTCAAACACTGATCGATCTGAGCCGCGCTGCTTTTAAGTCAAACACACATCCTATGTACGCGTAATTGCATCGCTTTGACCGTAGATCCCACCTTCTCACACACACCATGATTGGTCCATTATGTACAATGCCTGCAT